TAACATAATGGCTATAGCATGCAAGACAAATGCACTTAATTAGGTTCATAAATATATGTGTTGATACACTTCATCAACTGAAAAATATAATTTAATTACATTAATAATTTTAATGAAGTAAATACAAAGAAATTAAGTAAGAGAGTAGGCCTAAGCATAACATACCACCACCTAGATTGTTATTCTCTAAATGAAAACGGATTGGTCTCTGGATAATTAAATTGGTTAACTGATTTTGGCTGAAAGGTTAAACAATTTATGTTCATAAAAAGATATCATAATATGTATCATATAAAAACTATAATATTATTTCTTGACCTATTCTCAAACTGTAAGCCCATTAATTACATGTACATATAGAGCAGTGCAGACAATGGATCAGAGAGGTCCTGAACATATTAACCTCGGCAGAATTATAATGTTGTTTTAATTTATTACAGAGAATCCTGTGAATGTTAAAAACAGTCCTAAGTATTTGTCTATTGTAGCTAAGTGTTCTTGGCTATTCTTAAATATTAGCTTGGCAAACAAGATAAGTCCAAGGTTTATGTAAGAAATTATTTGTTCAGGCTTTAGAAAGCTTTGACATCTCGAGTTTTGACTGTTGATACTCTGAGGAAAATGGGAGATAAAATTTGCATTAAAAATTTACAATGAGTGTCTGTCAATGTTCTATTCATAATGTTATTAGACATGAGGGAAAAAATCTTTGTTGGTAGCCAACAAGTGCACTGTGGTTTTCCAAGTATTGTACCACTATCAGAGTGTGGTCAGTCACTGTGGGGGTTTTCCTGTGATAGAGGTATAGGATCAGTTACCCATAAAGTGGACAAAGTAAAAGGGAAAGGAAAATTGGACACCTGTTAGGAAGTTGTAAGATAAATGTATCAAGTCACAGGAAAACAAACAAAATTCAATCTATGGATACCATTCCTCATAGATCATTGTGTATTTTGGAACATTTGAAAACAAGTTGATGTGTGTGACTAAGTAGTTTTGCAATAAAATGGGAATGATATAAAAGGCATAAAACTAGGAGAAAAATAGAATGGTAAGTAGCTTAATTTTTTTAACCAATAGAGGAATAGTTTTATTGGCATTAGATTTAAAGATTTTTTAGGATTTTTTTCTATCAGGAACTTTCCTTGGGCTTGTTGTTTTGTGATAAAGGAGTAGCAGATTTTATGGATTTGCAGATGGATTTTAAAAGGTCAAATTAAAAATCTAACTTAATGAGCATTAAGCCAGGTATCATGGAATTAAAAAAAGGTTCAGGATGAATAGAACCCCCAGCAAAACAGTAATCTACAGCTTTGTGGTGTCTTTATCTGTTAAATGACTCTGTACTTTATGGCTATAAGTAGGTATAAATTGGCACCATTGGTTATTAGAAACCTGATTAAGAGTGCACTATCTTATATAGGTCTAATGTCAGTAGTTAAGTATTGGTCTGTAAATGTCCTGAACTTCTAAATGACTAGGGGTGGGAATTTAGCCACCATTGTCTATATCTAATCCGTATTTGTCTACTTCTTGCCAAAATATTTACTTTAGTGATTTCCTATGAAGGTCCTTGAACAAAGGATTTTTTCTGATGTATGCATTATAAGGAGAATCCATAAAAATAAACTTTATGATAATATGCTTAATTTTTGTCTCCAATTTTATTTTTTATTTGTCTATATATATGACCAGTGTGTCATAGATAATACGTGTTATAACACTTCTGATTGAATAAGTGATTTTGAAAATTAGTGAAAGGTAATTGATTCCTTTTGATATGTTATTTTATGAGTTTTATTGGAAACATGTAAAAACCTTATTTAAAATCGTTTTTAGACTGTTAAAGTACAGAGATTATGTTAAATAGAAGTATTACTGACTGTGATAAAATGCTTTGATTCTTAGCTAAATAGGATATCTGCATGTTAATGAGATTCTAAACTTTGTGGCTATCAGGTTTGACAGAAATATGTGTGGGATTGTTTTTGAAGTCGCTATGATCGCTTTTTTGTTTTTATGACTGATGTAATAATCCGTTGTAAATTGCACTTGTTCACATGCATTTTGACAGTTTCATTCAAAAGGATTTTGCTTGAGATTCAGTGGTCTAAGCCATTAATTTTACAATTCAAAGATAAGAAAGAAAGAAATTTCTCACCAAACTGTGAGGCATGACTTTTTCTTGTAGTAGAGTGTATTGAACATACCTAAACATATCAAGGTTTACCAGGTTATAACATCAAATATTGACCTTTATATATTATATATTTATCAGAACATAAAAATGGGAGTATGATGGTACATACTAAAGGCCTGATATGTTGACATTTTTTATGACTAAGCGATAAACACTGTAAAGAAGTTTGGAGATCCTGTCATAATACTTTGCTGTACAAAGAAACTGTTAGATGATGAGTACTGATCAGAGGTCCCATAGAATGGGAAAAATGTTAAGATATGCAAGGTCATGCATCCTACATTCATTTGGCTTTATCAGCTGACATTACAAGGAAATCATGTGAAAGGTCAGCTTTGATCCAATTTTAATGCAGCATTCATACACACATACTGCAAAAATTAAAATCAACTTCCATTTCCCAACATAAAAGAGGCTGTATACACTGGTCACTGCAATCAAAGAGGTGTATATAGACCAGGAACAGATGTGTAAGCTATGGAAGATGTGGCAGCAGGCATGCTTCTGATACTGCTGTTGCGCTGCTGAGATTGTGAACAGCTTCTGATGATGATGCAGTAGTCATTTTGTGTGCAGCCTTTGATACTGCTATCAGGAGTGTAGGACAGCTTTATTGGGGGGCACCTGTCAGTGAGATTATCTTGATGAACAGCTTCTCTGTGTTGTATTTAGTAAAGGAATACACTAGAAGTACCATCACAACTGTTTTTATGAATCATCAGAAACCATTATTGGGTGCACCCCAAATTCTTCCCTATTCAGCATAGCTGTAATGCATTTAACAGGTTCTATGTAAAGATTCTCTAGCTGCCAGTTAACATTTGAGTGCTCAGAGATGATGAAATATCTTCATAGTAAATGAATCTTAAGTTTGAGGACATATTGTGTGAAAAGCACTGTCATGCAGAATAATCCCTCTATCTTATCAAAGGTGATGAAGGTTGCATCTGGACAGCTGATAACCCAGATTTAACTAGATATTTAAACTTCAAACATTGAACAATTTTTTCAGTTTAGGTTGTGTTGACAGAATATATTTACTATTGACATTAACTGTTTCAGTTCTCAATGGTACATATAAGGGTGGCACAGTACTTCGTATTCTGTGAGCATACCTATGTAAGAATCAACACCTGGGACCTTGTGAAACACACTGAAATTATGTTTTAACATACCAAATGCAATTTAAACAGACATTATATTAAATGGAACAGATATTTTCCTTTAATTTGATATTTGAATGTCATTTGTGATCTTTAACAAAGTAAATTAAAATCCAGTTTTCTTTGAGAACAGAAAATTTAATTTTCCTCACTCAGTCCCAGCTATTAAAGCAGATAAAAAATTCATATTTCTGCGTGTCACCTTTGTATTGGAAGTGCAGGTATTATATGCATGAAGTTCCAGTTTACAATTTATTTAGGTTGGCAAATATCTAGAGCAGTGAAAAATGACTTTCAGGGCCACATACTTGTGTGTGTTTGTGTGTATGTCTCTGTGTTTCCACAGGGTGGGCACTTCTCAGACAGAGATATATAGGAAATGTCACGACTTTGTCTTGTTCTCCAATTTTCGTCTTTTTTCAATAGGCTTCATGATACATGCTGGTAAATTAATTCTGGATAGCAAATTTCTTAAGCCATTATATGAGTATTTAGATTTGTGATGAAAGGATGAAAATTAAATGTCAAATTGATAATCTTTTATAAAAAGGTAGAGTAGACATGCTTCTTTCTATGCATTCTGTAAATGAAAAAAGAGAAAAGAATTCATTTGCATCCCTGTTAAAGATGGGTGTGTTTTATAATATGTTAGTATATGTTATCTGAGAAAAAAAAAAAGTAAAATTGCAAAAATTAATTGTCCAGTAATTGTGAAATCAGAAATCTACATAAAATTGCCATGATTTTGTACAGTTTTAGAAATATTATGGTGATATAAAAATGTTAATGTTCATTCATTCTCCCTCATCATGGCAATAAATAGAAATTAAAAACATATTACTGTCAAGGGTTTTTTTTTCTGTGAAGCATCTTCATAGCAAGGAAAATCCTGTTGTGTTTTGCATCTGTTCTGGATTTGGCCTTGCTGTAGGGTCTTGACAGATTCCACAGTGAGGTATCACTCCAATGTGTGAAGCAACAGAGAGGGAGGAGAGAATATTCACTGTGGGTAATTAGCCCTGATAGTGTTATATTGCTGACTTAATCTAATTAATGGTACTGTGATTTATGGGGAACACCGTCATCTTATTTTCATGGGTCATTGTAATCATTAAATTAAACCTCTAAATTTTGATTATTTGTCAAAGGATGGTTTTCAGACTTAGGATAGAAGAAGATAGTTTCAACAAACTGGAATCATACTTCCATTAACTTGCAGATGAAAATTATAAAAACATCATTTGAGAATTGGTGTAACAAATTTTATGTAAAACATGATAATATAGTTATGTGTGATCCTCCCATTATGAGGAATATATAGGAATAACATGACTGTCAATCCATCTGTCCTTGCCAGTTCTGGGTGCCAGGGATTATCTTTAATGGAGAAATTACTTGGCACAAAGGTTGCTTCTTACCTGTAGGTATGTTACACCCCTGATCCAAGGTCATTTGGAAAGCTAGGTCAAGGTCATAAGATCAAAAGATTACAACTTGTATTTGTATACTTTAATGTCAATTTTATCATAAAAAAGAACATTGGACATAAGCCTGTACATTGTTTTTAAAACAGGCATCCTAGAGGGATACATAATTTTTGAGATATCCAATATACAGAAATGTTTTTCATTTTTCAGAATTTCCATGTTGAGAAGATAGGAGAGCAATTACAGATCCCAGACACCTGCAAGCAATTTCAGCAGGGCCTCTGTAATGTGTGTGACACATCTACTGTCCAGCTGAAGCGAGAGGTGGTGGCAATGGTCCAGAGTATCCATCAGGCACAGACCGAGTCGCCTGTACATCCTAGTCATGTCTTCCGTCAGCAGTCCAGCAACAGGTAGGAGCTAGATGCTGCTTAATATAGATATTGAAGATTAATATTTTATCAACTTGTAAAAGTTTTTAGTAGAATGAATGAAAGCATGCACAAAAACTTCATAAATATGCAACTGCGTTCCTATGTTCATATATATAATTCAAAAGGACATATGAACACACGTTTAATTCTGTATTTGTTAGCCATTTGTGTGTGGAATATACATATGATATATTATTAGCTTTTACAGAATTTTCTGTAGGTTTAGGAATTTTTTTTGGGGGGGTGGGGGGTGGGGAGGGGTTAACTTAAAGAATCAAAATCATGAATTAATTGTTAAGCTAGCATTATATTTGACATATTAACCTCTTGCTCATCATGTAAAATTCCACAGACATTTGACTGCAATATGTGTGCAGTGCTTCTGAGTCTCAAGTAAAGGCTTTGTCAGCTTTCTTATTTGAATAATTATTATTGGATAAAGTTTAATCACTCAGAATTCCAAATCAAGATGTGATGCTTAGAGATACAAATTACATGTCATGTTTGCCTTCAGTTGATTTAACAAAGATGGTGAGGCTGAAATTAATTTCATTGAGAATGTTGTCAAAAAGAGACCAGTATTCTCTTCAGAAATTGTAGAAGATCAGGCACTCAAATGATAGCTCAGTTAGATATGGATATCATGAGTATTTGCTTGCATGAGCCTTGAAAAATCACCCTTTACATCCGACAGACAAAACAGATAGCTTTTTCATTGAGCTATTAGTTATTCTGTTCCATTCCTGAATTGTGTATTTGCTGAAAGTTTTAATAAATCGGCAATTTTTCCCACTCAGATGATACTGCAGATACTCATCATTTCTGCCTTGAATGATTGATCAGGTCAAGACCTTTACAAGGTCATATCCATCATTATTAGATAAATAATGCAATTTCAATAAGGGCTCAAACTCTGCATTAATAATAAGTGAGGATAAAGTGTTCAGTAGATTAATATGGAATTTTTATAACAGGATAAAACCACAGTTTTCAGTAGTGTGACCTTGAAATTATTACAGGAAGGTATCTGAAGTGAGCTAAAGTCCATAATCCTAGCAACAATGATGTTGGATGAATCGGTTACCATTAATGTATTTTAGTAAGCTTATGGTAACAAAAAATTACTATGAATATATTTTGAGTAAGCTAGGTTATGGTAACAACTAGAAAACTGTGGTATGACAGGGTTACAGATTAGATGGAGCGTGCCAACTGTCTAGGCTGCTGACAGGTTGTTGACAGAATCAGTGATAGTCAGATTCTAATGGTGATAGATATCAATGCAGTGCCCTCTGTGATACCAGTGTGCAGGAAAAGCTTCGACAGGGGTAGAAATTCCCATAGATCACTGCATCCGTCACCTCCTTGCAAGTTGGCGAATATGTCATCAGTAGACATATTGCTTCTGCTGTTTTCTTTTATGGTGAATATTCATGGCTGAAGACAATTGGGAATCACCCAAGCAGTGAGGGATACTGATAACATAAAACAGAAAATGTTGTGTCTAGGGCTAGGGAATTCAATGGATGATATTTTTGCTAATGTTTTTGGAATTGATGATTTCCCTTGGTGGTAGATTTCTGCAGTATGTTGTCTGAAAGATTCTTGATAGATGTGTATAGAAACTGAATATTTCATCTAGACATGAACTTTAACTTTATTAGCTAGATATTTATTATTCATTGAAATGTAGGAAGAGGAGAATTCATTTAATTCCAGGGATAAATTGTAGATAAAAACATTTTGGAAGTACATATTAACCATTTTTCTTCGTATCCTAAGAACATACCTTTTCTAAGGTCATCATTGATTTCAAAGATAAAAATGAAAAAAAAGATCTACCTAACAGTGATGAAAGGAAAGTATGGTAAAAATAGAAGATTTGTGAAATAATGGAATTCTTTTTTAAATGAGTTATAGAGTTTCTTCCTGGTCTTTTGGTGATAAGACTGACATTTTCATAGTATTGGAATGAGGTAGGCTACAAGCCTACAGATTATTATAGTGATTGTAGACTAATTGTCCCTGTTTGGAAAATTTATACCACTGAGTAAAACATAAATGTCGGAATTAATGAAGTTAGTTTTTCTTGGAGGATGAAGATACATAATTTGCATGGAAGCACGAAATGACTGTATTGAGATTCTGTGATAGGGAAAAGAACATTCCAGATAAACATCAGTATCTCTGAAGAAGCAAGTCTTTAGCTTTTTACCCCTAACTATGATTTTAATGAATTTCAGTATCTATCTGTGGATGTTGGTTTAACAGGTGAATCAGATGTTAATTTGACATCTGTTGAGCTGGACAGTAATTGAGTCCTCTGATAGCTGAGTATATACATATACAATTTAAACACCTAAGTGTTTTAGTGTGTATTTAAAGATGCCAGCTACTTAACCTGAAAGAAAATAATCCTATAATCATAGATGTTATATTTTTCTGATCTTTTTGAAGTTGATTAATGCAACTGTGATTTAAAATATCAAAGAGGATTAGCGTCCAAGCTACATACTTTAGACTTTGATGCTGAGAAAAGTGGAGTTGTGCCGGAAGTAATTTTTTGATAAATTTTTCAATTGACCCATCATTAAGAAAATACATCTTTCTCATGGCCTTCAAATCATTAAGAGATCAATGGATGAGATGTTTATACATTTAATGAGGAGGTGATATACAGAAGTGGTCAGTACTGCCTTCTGGGATAGCTATAGCAGGGAGCAGTGGTAAGTCTTGTTGAGTTTTTTTGTGTGTTTTATTGGAGATGCTTCTTCTGGCTTGCAAACCTCATTATAATTAAAGTTCAGTGTCATTGAATTATAAAGGACTTTCCTTGCAGGTCTATTTTGAAAGGAATTAAGTTTTTGAGGAGCTTTTACGCAATTCTTGTTGACATATTGCATACATTTCATTTGGAGTGGTCAGGATTTCGTAAGCTAGAACATGTAGAAGGGGGTTCAGCGTATTGAAAATTAGAAAAATCTCAACAAAGACCTGAGCTAATATTATCCTGGTATTTCTATGAAGATGTGAAATTCCTGCTTCTAGGGGTCAAGACTTTCTTAACAGATTGGTGCTAAAACACACATTAAGACTGCAAAGAAGATGCCTATAAGATTTTCTATATAGCAATTATTTAAAGAAATGATTTAGAGACAAATATAAAGATCGATTGATTTCATTTTTAGAGCAAATGTTGACACAAGATACAAAAAAGGAGATTAAATCTAAAATTCAAACAAATGAGAGAAATCGCAAGATTGAGAGGCTTAATTTGTACAAGTTTAATAACTGTCACTTCTTTAATTTTCAAAAGTTGTAATCTTGAATACGACATGTTTGACATGGATAGCTACTTCACTGCATGGGGCTGTTTACTACTTGAAGGGATTTTTATAAGATACTTCTAGGTCAGTAATAATCTTGTAGAATTTATCTAGTGTTAATGAGAAATGAAATTTGTAGGTATGAACGCTCTCATATTTCATTCTTTCACATTATTTCATAAACTTTCAAGATGCTAATTTTGAAATACGAAAAAGATTTCATCAGATTCCAACATTTGAAATTTTAGACACTGGTAAAGATAAAGCATTTTGTACACAACAAGACACTGCAACCAATATTTGTTAGGAATTAAAGGCAGAATACCATACTCTGAGTAAGAACCAAATATGTAGGACAGGAGGGTATTCCATTTTGTGTGACTGACAACTAGGATATGTTTCTCGGTAAGAGAGCAGTATTTCTCCCACAAACTGACAACTTAATTACACTCCTGGAATCAAAAAGATCAAAAAGCTGTAGTTAAAATGAAATTTAAACTAATATGCAATAATTAGATGTTGGAGATTTCGAAATTGAAATACATGCATTGAATGCCACGAGTGCAATTATTTCCATTCTATAGATTTTAGACCAAATGGTGTTAAAGAGCCATAAAATAACTTCAAAGTATACTGGGGACAATTGTCTGCAATTCTACACCATTTCAGTGTAATATTGACAACTTGTGGCCTTTGTTGGAGTTTGACCTTGTGAGAGACTTGTGAAGTTTTAGATTGGTGGCACTGTTTACCCAGACTCGCTCCAGACGGGTGGGAAGCAAAGCAAGGCTTCTCCTCTGACTTCCTACTTGAATGGTGTGAAATTCTGAAATAATCAGAAACTTTCTTTTCACCAAAAGTATCTTGTTTTGGTGGTCTGTAGTTTACTTTTGATCTGACTGATAATGAAGCATGGGTCTATACCTGAGTAGTTTTGTATATTGACTGACACTTGCGGTAATGTCTGCAGAAGTCGTAGGTCACCAGAGCAGACACAATGGGATCTTCACCAAGATATACAATTTCATGGTGAGAATTATGAAGCATATACATGTATTAAAATTGATTGCACTTTTCTTTCCTATAGTTCAAGCAGAATTGTACTGATTGCCATTGCAAAAGAGAACTTCAGCCTTCTGATCTTTTTGATTTGTGATAAGGATTTTTTCATCAAAATGATTGATTGAAAAGGAATCTTAGGAAATGGGGCTTGTTTAATGGGTCAGCGTATAATGGTATACCACTATATGATTCATAGTGTAAATACTTCATAATTCCAGATTCTAACACAGGAAGGACTTTCTATCAATTATTTTCTTGATAGCGTCACTGTTTGAATATCTATCATCCCCTTTCTGATGTAAAGGAATATTTTATGTCGTCAATTTAAAAATTGGAGATAGCTATCAAGATGTCGTAGGACAAACAAACAGGGAGTATTGGAATCTTTAATATTGAAAGATATACCCTCTTCAAAATTAATAGTAGTATTTATGGCTACAAGAAATTTTCTTGTTTGCGTCAGTGACATTTAATTATGGGCATTAAGAAATGCATGGTATACAAGTTACCATCCTTATGTATAAAAATTTAAACCTTTAAATATAAATTATATAAATGTGTTAAATGGCAACTATTCATTTTCAAACAATTTAACAGTGTTGACAAACTTGGCACAAGTTAAAAAGCTATTATTAGCATGTTTTAATTTGTTGAAGAAAATTAAGAAATGATATAACTTTTATTTCCAAATTCTTTGTGCACTCAGCTCAAGACATGTACTAGATTAATCTGGTATAGGGGAGAGAACTCTCAATTCCAGCAGCAGCAGCAGCTGTTGAGAGCATCATCTCAGATTCCCTGAAGACAACATACTCCACACCAAATTCTCATTCACACATATATTGTGTATCTATCTACAGGAATGGAGTGAATTGCCAAGTAATACATGTATTTAAAAAAAAAAATTACTGATGTGATAATTATGTAAGGGACAATATATAAACAAACAAAATTCATTTATATACATGTTTCATGAATGGCACGCCAGAATTAGAGATAAATCACTTGAAACACTGAGGCAATAGAATGTTTTGGGGTTTTTTGGCATTGAAAGACATTAATGAGGTCTTTTGATGAATTATCATTAGAATGAAAAACAAACAAACCCTTGTCTTTTAATTGCATTTAATGACTTTGTTTATATATATATATATATATATATATATATATATATATATATATATTTGTATGTATGTATGTATGTATATATATATATATATATATATTTGGTCTTGCTATATAGACATTGAATTTGAAGGATCCCAATTGAACTAAAATAAATGTACTGTAATATGTTTTATTGAGTTAAATGGAGTAAATATTATAGTCACAAAAGTTCATTTGCAGTCATAGCATTAAATGAAGAAACAAAACTTTTTGGTGACATCCATCTTCGCTAGCCAAGGGTTTCTGATACGCTACTCTCCTCATAAGCCCTTGGCATACGGTGTTAAAAAAAGTTGGGATTTTTTTCTAAAGTTGTGATTGGAGTTGATCGACATCGTTCGACCAATCAGCAATTGTTTTTTGTAATGGACGATATTTGCGTTCGGGATATATCTTGACTTTTTAATATCGGGAATGAAAAATGCAAGTAAACAAAGATCCGTAAGATAACATGTCATTCTATGAATAGTTATATGGTGTCATACAATAATCCTAATCTACGTGCAAAATATGTGATTAAGAATCTATACTGAAGGTGTAGATCTGCGTTTTAACATGTTTAAAATAACAAATTAACATAATTCATTACCTTCTTGTTAATTATTCTTTAAAAACATTATTTTTTTAAATACGCTTTTTATTTCTGTCGATGACGCAATCTGTGCGTACCTGGTAAGAATCGTGATCACGTGATGAAAACAATCCCGTCTTTTGTCATCACCGTATGCCAAGGGTTTATGAGGAGTAGCGTATCAGAAACCCTTGGCTAGCGAAGATGGGTGACATCAGTCACAAAACCAATGTTGAACATCCTCAGTAGCATACCAAGGAATTCATTTCCTAAACCCAGGGAACTATAGGTTTCTTCAGTAGATATTTTGTGATATATTGCACTGTTCTTATGTACCATATGCTTACCATGGTTTTGAGAGAATTAGTAAATGAACTTGAACAATTGAACTATTTCTTCTCTATGCTTATTATTTGTTTATCATTGATAATTATGTTAAGGACCCTCTATACACTGACGAAAAATGTTTTTTGGACTTTGAGAAAATTATATAGTGTAAAGGAGGATATTTTGAATTTAACTAATTCATTTTTAATATAGGGAGCGTGCCTTTTTTATCCAGGAAAAATCTTCAAAGATAATGAAGTAATTATAAATAAAATTCGCTTTTGCTTACTCAAATGGAGAAAATACAAGCAAATAATGTTTTTGACTACTCTATCTTGGTCTAATATAATGTTTAGAATACTTGGATCTATTTTAAATTATGTCATACAGCGCAGATTACAATTTATTCTATTTCTATATCAAATGATGGGTCAGTCTAACTACACAAAAGTATCCTGAAATTAAGGTGGAGTGTAGAGAGGGTCCTTAATAGGAGTGTAAATAGTTAATGAAACATAAATCTCTCACACAAAGATTCTGTATATCTGATTAATCTATACAATTATTACTGTTTCAGGTGTTTGAATCAAAAGGTCCATTGTTAAGACTTATCATTCAATGATGGGTAAAATTTATGCTATACAACTGTCAACACAAACTACTGGGGAAGACATTGATGTGTAGATTATTTTATTTTTTAGGTGAATATATGTAAATATGGTCCTGTCACTTCTATCTACCATCAGTGTACTGGCTTGGCTTTTGATCTCCTTGATAATACATATCCCTCTCACTAGCTGCTCATCTGAAATAGCATATCGCTCTAAACATCAGGCAGTTTGAAGTTTCGAGACTTTTTTGAATGAAAATTGTAAATGTGACTTTTTGACATGGTGAGGTTTTACAAGGTTGTAAAATATAAGCATACTGACAGGTCTGTTTTGAGGAATTTTGAATCCACATCAAAGAGTTAACTACAAACACCTGTTTGACCCCTTCCTTTAACATTAGATAGGGGATTTTGATAGACTTTTTATTCCTCTTTCTTTCAGTAAAGTTTTTGAGGGAAGCACAAAAATTGATATCTCTTTGCAGTGTTGTGTGTATATACATATAGAGAGAGAGATAGATAGAACTGTAGATTTCACAGGTGAAACTTGGACCCTAGTATATACAATTCAACGTATTTAGGGTCGTGTTACAACAAGTGTATGGTAGAGATCCTCTGAAGAATGAGATCACAAGCAATAACTCAAGTTTTCCTTTTCTTTGTGAAAGACTTATGTGTTTTGTGAATGGTGTCAGGTTCTGTCTTAGCTCTGTTTCTCAAACAAAATAGAAAGTGTGGAAAGTGGAAGAATTTTATCATTTACAAATTAGAGGCTTTTAAAATTGACATGATTGTACTGTGTTGTTCTCTTGTGTAAATTTCAAGAACTTGCATGTTTTTAAGACGGTTAAAAAAAAAGAGAGAATGTAAGTTTTTTTTTTCTTTTTAAAACTTCTGTTGCATGCTTGGTTGGAAATTTGGGGGGAACAATTTTTGAAAGTTCCCAGCATCTCAAAAAAGATTTTTGATATTCTGAAACAATATTTAATATAATTTCAAAAGCTCTTGGCAAGATGAAATAACAGGTGTTGAATCTCTGAATGCAGGTGGTTTTATTCTGAGAAGCTTTTTGTAATTCCATCTTATTATTAACATTTCCCATATTTATGAATCTTTTTCATTTCACTACCAACAACTATTTATATATAAAAAATGTCGAGTTAAATTGAAAAAAACCCAGTTGATTTATATGAGTGCCATCTTCAGAGTCCACTGATTTTCAATACGGATAGCAGTTGCTATCTTTTTCTTGCATTTTGGGAAGAAATGGTTTGTTGGAAAAAATATTGATACAGATTCCTCATCGAGATTGTTAGCAGTGTGGACCTTTGTTAAAGATAGAAAAGACCCAGACAGCTCGCGAATAAACTTTATTGGAAATTGACAATCTGAGAAATTTACAGGTGGAAGTTATAATATTGTTGAATTAACTTTTTGTTGTCTGTTTCCATAATCAATATACTAAATGAAGTGTTATCGATGATATTAGACCATTAACAATTTGTTTTATTACTTGGCTTTTTTTCTGCATTGTAGAGGGTCCTTTACAAACTAATTTTGAGTATGAAGACTATAAATTGAGATAAGAAAATGACAATATCCATGACTCAACATTTACTTGCGCATTTGATTTTTTAAATATCAATACTATATATCCATCATATTTGAAACTTGAGTGCTACCATATGGGTCTTTCCATGTGATTTGTCATCAAATTGAAAGTAATATTCAAGCAAACACTTTTATCCCTTTACCTTTATATTTTGTTACATGTAAATATTTCAAGTGTTAGGCACATACAATTCATGTCAAAATGTTCTTTTGTTGACTGAAGTGTTCATATTTCATTTTAAATTAATTTTCACCCTCATTGCTTCAATGATGGAACATTTATATGAACCAATATCACATCAAACCCTAAGTGAAAAATCAAAGACCTCTCCTATACTTTAGTTCCACACTTAACAAACACTACTGCATGTTTATTGCATTTTACAAGCATGCACGAACACAATTAAGTTCATCAGATATCAGACAGAAAGTCAAATCACAGAGGTTTTCTTCATTTCATAACAGATAGGTATTATGCAACTGCAATGTGCAGCCACTGATCAGTATTGCTCTCCTTTAAATTGCACTGAAGTTTATAGAGTGCCAGATGGATATCTTAGGGAAAGGTTCTAGTAAATGCAGGGAGACTACAGATTCCAAAAATGCTAAATATAAATTTCTTTTTTCATATCAGAAAAAAAATTTTGAATAATATAAATGGTCAATCCTTACTTTTCTTTTTGATGAAGACTTTTATGCCTTGATCTTCATGCAATGAATCAGACGAACACAGTGAACACAATAAGCTGATCACTTTGCCTTAATTGACAAATCACCTAGTAAAGGATGATGATGTTCAAAATTCATTGTCCTTTTGGATAGAAGGTAAATGAACATAGATATCAGGATTAGCTTTTGAGTAATGTTACAAGGAATGCTTGTGATTTACTGCTTTTCTATGAAAATTTGTTAATGTGTTAGACAGGGAAATTTATTTACAACATCAGTAAGGATACAAGAGCTGAACACCCATCCCTGGATTCAGTGATGACTAGATCTTTCTCTTAATGATGAAACCAATTTTAAACTTATATTACATGAGCATTTGTCATTATCAGTTTAGGTCACTGTGTACTCTGATTTTGAGTATTAGGCCTAATAAGGATATTTGATGATGCTATTAAGGGACTGTTGTATAAAGAATTTCAAAAATGGTTTCAGATCATTGAAGCAAAAGACGAAAGGAGGCCCAGCATCATCCGGGACAGGTGGCCTCAACAATGTATATTTGGAGCAGCAGCATCAGAAGAACTACCACTATAGAGTCAGTCAGGTAAGTGAAACATACACTACAATAAAAGAAGGAAAGGGGAGCTCTACATACCAGTAAGCTGCATATCATACTGTAGATTCCTAAATATACGCGAGGAATTAATTATCGCGTAATTATGCGAGAAGCACCACTCACGAAATAAAATTACTCGCTTTTATTTTTATGGTGCTGAAATCAATGTTAAATATCTTGATCAATTGCCCACTCGCGAATTATTGTTCTCACGATTTGACGTTAAAGAGCCATTTCACGAAAATAAGTACTCGATCGCGAAAAATGAGGAATCTACAGTAACCACTGGATTCTGTCATCTGATACATATGGCTTTCAAAGATGAGAATGCTTCATATTAACTATGTGTTTTACATGATGGGGATAGTAGTTCAGAATCACTGAAACTACTCCAGATATTTTTGGTTCACCTGCAAAGGAGACTGACACTTAAGGATAACTTTATTTGCTGCAAAGCCTTTCAAAAAATATCAAAGTTATTAACTTCATGAACTTGACCTTTGACCTATTCTTCAAGAATTAGTTTCATTGCAAAGTATGAAAAAGAAAAATATGGCTCTAATATTTAGCTTGTTAAATTAATAATTATAAATATACCCTCCATAAAATACGTAGTTTACAGAATAAGTGACCTTGAATTTGACCTTCGAGAGGTTGAGCTTTGATGTTGAGCAAGACATTAAGAATGTTTGAAGAGTTTTTTTTTAGCTCACCTGAGCCGAAGGCTCAAGTGAGCTTTTCTGATCAAAATTTGTCCGTTGTCTGTCGTCGTCGTCGGCGTCGTTGTTGTCGTAAACTAAATTTCACATTTTCATCTTCTTCTCCAGAACTACTGGGCCAATTTCAATCAAACTTGGCACAAAGTATCCTTGGGTGAAGGGGTTTCAAGTTTGTTCAAATGAAGGGCCACGCCCTCCTCCAAGGGGAGATAATTACGAAATAGCAAAAAATTAATGGCATTATTGAAAAATCTTCTTCTCAAGAACCAGTGGGCCAGGAAAGATGAAACTCATGTGGAATTATTGTCAGGTAGTGTAGATTCAAGTTTGTTCAAATCATGACCCCCGGGGATAGGGTGGGTCCACAATGGACGATCAAAGTTTTACATAGGAATATATAGGAAAAATCTTCAAAAATCTTCTTCTCAAGAACAGCAAAGCTATGATTGGTCATATTTATTTGGAAGCATCCACAGGTGGTGTAGATTCAAGTTTGTACAAATCATGACCCCCGGGGGTTGGGTGGGGCCACATTGGACGATCAAAGTTTTACATAGGAATATATAGGAAAAGTCTTCAAAAATCTTCTTCTCAAGAACAGCAAAGCTATGATTGGTCATATTTATATGGAAGCATCCTCAGGTGGTGTAGATTCAAGTTTGTTCAAATCATGACCCCCGGGGGTAGGGTGGGGCCAAAATGGACGATCAGTTTAACATACATGTAGGTGTACATAGGAAAAATCTTCAAAAATCTTCTTCTCAAGAACAGCAAAGCTATGATTGGTCATATTTATTTGGAAGCATCCTCAGGTGGTGTAGATTCAAGTTTGTTCAAATCATGACCCCCGGGGGTTGGGTGGGGCCACATTGGACGATCAAAGTTTTACATAGGAATATATAGGAAAAATCTTTAAAAATCTCAAGAACAGCAGAGCCACGGTTTGTCATATTTATACGGAAGCATCCTCATATAGTGTAGATTCAAGTTTGTTCAAATCATGACCCCCCCCCCCCCCCCACTCCCTTTTTAGGGGTAGGTTGGGACCACTTATGCATTTAAGCTTTTCAATACTAAACTGATTTTTCCTTTTTTCCTAGCCACAGTGCTCAGGTGAGCGATGTGGCCCTTGGGCCTCTTGTTTTTTTTGGAAGGTTTTCTTTTTGACCTTGAACTTAACCTTTGACAGACTGTCTGGATAAATTTTTATCTCAGTTCTTATTGGGTCCATTTAATTTTTGTTAGGTAGAGGATCCAGTCAAGCACATGTTGATTATTCATATCTAAATTTTGTGAATTGGACCATCTCTAGTAATTTAGCCTCACAATTCTTAATTTTTGCTATACAAAAATGAGCCCATAGCTAGACATTCATATTCTATAGATCCTTCTTTTATCATTAGCTCACTCAAGCCAAAGATTTGTTTTTATGACTAGAGTGCATCCAGCATCTGTCTCTGTGTATGTCTCTGTTTATTTCAAAGAAACATCATTGTGTTCAGAAATCTATTTGAATGTCACATTTCTGGGGGAAAATTAGGAAAAAGCAAATAATTGAGAGGGTTTATGTGATGTACATACATTTTTTTCTCTAGTGATGCTCACTGTAAAGTGATGACTTTGGCTTCAATATGTTATATGCTCAATTTCTGTTAATAAGTATTTCAGATATTAATTTTATTTAAGAAATGAAAGTTTTTATATTTGATCAGAATAGAGGGAAACATGAACACTTTCAGAGTATAAAAGCAATGTTTATTGAATTGTCAGGTTTTGAAGCTTGGTTTCTAACTTCAGAGATTAAGTCACCTGACAAATTGGGGACAGCTTCCAATAGGAATGATCTGTGTTGTGTTTTACTGGAACACGTAAAATGATGCATAATCAGTTCCCACATGATTTGCTTCATGAAATTAAAGGATCGTGTATCAAAGGACCTTTTGGGTATTGAAAGAAACTACAATGCAAGAAAATCGAAAATTGGTAATTGACAAGAAATTTGATTACAAAATTGTGTGATTTTACTCGATGATTAACGGTTAGAAAATGTTTTTGTTTGCGTTAATATGCAAGCTGCTGTTAACAGACAAATCAAAGGAATTCACAATATTTTTCTAAGCTTTTACTTTACTACCACAAGGCTGGAATTTGCTATGTCAATGTTATATGTAAAATCTTTATTGAATTGTGAATGAAAAGTAAAGATCCATTATAACACTGTGGCCATAGAATTAAACAAAAAAGATTGACAGAAAATTAAATAAACCATTGATTGAATGTAAATGTTCAATTTCCTAATGATTAAAAAAAAGAAGAGAATAATTAACCTTTATTGCTAAAGAATTTAGGATTACTAGACTTATAACACATTAACAGATTTACAAGTGTGCACTGACTGGTAATTCATTGATGTTCCATAGATGTTCCTTCAGAAAGAGGGCGATTTACCGATTATAGTAAATTGTTATACATCTGAATTCATTGTTACTGAGGCAGTCCGTGTTCTTGTCGCATTAATTTCCTTGAAGCTGAGGCTGTTTGCTGTTGTATTTTAACCAGTGAATGATTATTCTCCGATTAAATTAATTATGCTTGTGGAAATATTGGGAATTTTTTTTCATATGCTTTGGTCTTCCTAGGAAATGGTTATGTTCATTTAGTAATGGCAGAAAATGCATTGTTTTGTTCATTGCTGAATCCATAAGAACTTCGTATATGTTACACATTTCAAGGTTCGAAGAAAATCTTTATACTTAGTAAATTACTAGATACAGTCAAACCTTGTCATCTCATATTCAAAGGGACCGAGAAAATACTTCGAGATTACCGAGGATTCGAGATATGCAGGATAAAATACTTATGGAATAAGCAGTTGGAACTTCAAAATCACTTCAACATATCCATGGTATTCGACATATCCATGTTCGAGATACCGAATTCAACTGTATATGTAATTATGAGTTGATATTAACAAAGTAAAATTACTAGATATTTTTGATTTTTTTTCTGCTCAAAACCATGAATTCTCAGTAGAGTTGACCTGTTCAACCCCACATTGCTTTATATTAATGGACAAAATTAATGACTCAATTAATTCTTCAATTCCCTGCACTCTTATTCAGTTCTCGTGTTGTGACTCTATTCAGTAAAGTGGATTTGTTTACTTTTCATTGTCATGCAGTGTAGATTCTGTTAATGTAAAAGTACAGAACAAGAGATTTAGAAAAACATCTAAATACTGTCAGTATAAGAGATGTGCAAATGTGGTGCCAGCAAATTAAAGTCGGGCATTAATTTACATTGAGGAGTTTTATCAAGTGTATATGTAGCAGGTTCAAATATTTAATTATCAGATGGCACCGATTCTGTCAAAATATTGATATAAGCCTCAAAATGAATTCAAAGACTTTTAATATGAATGGGAGGTTTACGACAGAATGATTGTATCATTGAACCTGCCAAGGTTTTAACTTTAAACAAAAAAATAAGTCCATGTCGTTAATAAAAACAGTAATGTTAGCATGACACATCTGATGAATGCAAATCAACAAACAGTACTTTTTATGATTGGTGACAAAATTTTGTAGTGATAAATATTTTTTGCATAATATATAAGAGAAGGCTACATTGTAGTTGTCTTGATTGATTACTTCGTTCCGAGACGGAAAGTTAAAAGCATTGTAAAGTATCACAGGCCGATTTGGATCAATTTTCGCAGCATACTTAACTACTTAATAGGAAAGTAATATTAGTTACACCGTTACAGATATTGGATAGGAAATGTTCACCTCCGTCAGAATCCGAGCATTTTTATTGCGCCTTTCTAATGTTCTTTTTGTGTGATCCATAACTGCACATTGGGATGAGGCTTATATGTCTTTTTGTAGAGTGGCTTAAAATAACGACATTGATTTAAACGCAGCAGAAAGAGTAGACTATTTATTCTCCAAGTAAGGCCATGCATATGGGCTGTTCAGCGTGCTCTCTCTGATACTTGCAAGGCAACCAGGTACATTCTTCTGTCTCAGGTATTTAAATGCCTGTTCTGTTACACATGGACGTATACTGTCAACTGAAGAACTAAGGTATAGGGTCCATATCTAAGTAAAGGACTTATCTGAAACTTCAGAGATATTTAGGAACTACAGACAACACAATCAAATGATAGCTGCTTTTTTTGTATTTTGTTTGATAGTTAAAATTACAGGTGCTTTAAACTGCAGAAACTGTTTGTGTCCTGTGTACTAGACAGGCCTGCAGACAAAATGAAGATGTAGCAGTTCTATTTAAGAGTTCTCGGAGCAGGAATATTTTTTATCAGAGTGCAAGATTTTAATTCAAGCTCATGTGGACAACGGGATTGATTTGGTGTGTGAAAGGTGACACCTATTCAACGGATAAAATATCTCCAGGGATGAGGAAAACTTTAAAAGTGATCAAAAATTGAATCATTTCGGATTTCATCAATCTGACAAGTTTGTTCACCTTCAAGTATTAATAAAGAAAGAAAATAGTTCATTGAAAAAAAAAACTGATTTATTATCTTAGATTTATCCTTATAAGGAAAATGACCTGGAGCTACGATTAAGGAATATATTGTTTGTATTGGATCGCTTTATATTTTGAAGTGGTGTAGACTTGTGCGATATTGTGATTATCCCCATGTTAGTGTACACCTGGAGAAATGATCAGTCTTACAGTCTGACAAATGATTTGGTGTCGGATCTTTAATACAGACCTCCTTTATAAAGAAATGTAAATGGATAGGTAAGGATTACATATTGTCAGTATATATAGAAAAAGGAGACATATTTTGAACAGAAATAATTTTGATATATTTAACAATTTTGTTGATTTATGTTGGAATAGGGGAAAAATTGTTAGAAAATTTCAGCTGTATTTTAGAAATTTAAACCTATAATATGTAACGAGAAAATTTAATACTTTTTTCTGATGTTGATTAGAAAAATAAAAACTTCTTTGTGAAGTGAGGTGCAACTTTACTTTTAAGAAAATCATCAACTCTGACTTGCAGTGCACTTTGAAGTAATATATTACAGAGTTAATTTTATTTTACAAGTTTACAAGTGAATTAATTGCTGTATATTTACAATTCCTCGTATGACATGGTACTTACATATGTTCAGAAGTGCCTCTTATAATCTAACTTTCTCACACCTCTGGTATCCTGTTTTTTTATGAATGGATTTTTTACTGTCGTGGAAATCAGTAGTTAAAGAAATAAATAACAGGTCACCTGCACCAGATCACTGACTGCATATGAAAATTGACAATGGCATCCACACCATGTCATTCTGTGGTTCTCTCTCAAAAATTTAAAAATACCTGAGCTTGTGTAAAATTAGAGGAATCATGTTTTATGCATCGTTGTGATGCAATGGATCTTGTGGGGTTACCTGAAATTTTTGCTTTACCCTGTTTTCCCATATATATATATATATATATATATATATATATATATATATATATATATATATATATATATATATATATATATATTAGTAGAGAGCATTTTAAAGATAACTTTGAAAATGCAAAGTATGAATGAACTTGGTCACCTTTTGAGGAATAACTATCCCTGTCAACTTGTGAGATTGAATATTATGGACACAGTTAGTGGGTGTCCAGTTGTAAATTGGAGGGGAGGGACAGATTTTGTCAGCAACAAAGATTATTTTTTTGAGATAGGGCAATGTACACCTCTACATTACAAAGGTGTTAGTCATCTCTTAAAGAAACATTTTCAAAGGGGAAAATTTACAGAGACATGGCCAGAGGGATTGTGTCATGCAGTATACAGGTCAAAGCTCGGAGATGGAAGTTACAAGACATTTTTAGAAACGTATTCAGTCCTCATTTGTCAGCTGAGAGTAGATAAAGACTTTCTTATAGGTCTGGTTACATAAAGGATGTCATTATCTTCACTGGATTCATAGAAAGGATTTTTTTAGTTGAAGGCTCCCTTTGGTCAACTTGCATTGTGAATTTGGACATATTCATTTAAGAGAAATTTTATCAGCGGGTTGCCTAATTTACTGTTTTGTTAGTTGTCTTTGTGTGTCAGTATAATGCTAATTGCTAGAAAAATCAAGGTTAATACATTCTTATTTAGCCTTGATTTGGGAAAAAAAGTTTTAATATACATGCAAATGTTAACCATTGTGGTAAATGTCAGCAAAGTTAAGATGCCATGTAGCTGATTAGCTATTCCAAGTCATGTAAGCCACATGCTTTATTTACCATTTTAATAAAACACAGTGGAATCTAATAATAGTTATTTACACATTCCATAGGATTATAAACAAGTGAAGGGCATTTTGTTAATTTAATACAGAGACCTACATGGTGTTGTGATGTAATTATTAATGTAATAAAATGATTGGCTATTGATGGTTCCCAATAGCCTAAGCTTTTAAGAACAGTGTCAGGAACCTCTTGTGGGGCAGAAGTAGTCATTAGGAGGATTACCTTGTTGTTTTTCTTTTCTCATGCCCAGTGCCTCAATATATAGTGTGAGTTAGCACCCCAGCTATAAAATGTAACAGAGAAAGCCTTCATTATCAAAGAAATTTGTTTGAAAACAGCAGGGGGTTAAAAAAGTCAATTGTCCTTGGAGGTATTCTTGTTGATCACTTTGTGTGGGTCTTGGTCCAGGTGTGAGTTTGATTGGCTTAATTACAGGTAGCGACTTTCAGGTATAACAAATGCACAGTTAGTTTTCTTGGGGTGGGGTAGTTCTGCCAATATAAAGGATTTCTGAAAGAATAACTGTTGCAAACTTCTTTTGAAGAAACTTTAAAAAAGAGCAGTGCTTTTTGGATCACAATTTTAGGATCTGTTTGCTTAATGAGTGAGATTTGTCTTCATTATTTCTTCATTTTTTGAATATTATAAATTTTAAATTACATCATGCTGTCATGTATTTAGAATGACTACAATTTAATTATACATGTATCTTCAAGAAACTTAACATATTAAAGGTAGTAGTAAACAAATGCAAAGGTATGTTTTATATGTTAGACATCTGTGAGATATGCAAGGGTTTGCGGAAGTGTACAAGTTTAAGAAATATTTTTATGACCTTTGATTACGTCTTTTCTCTTAATAAATTCTTGAGAAGGAAAAGGATGTCCCGTAATATAAATAGAGTAAATATTTAGACTATGGTTGACCAGAATGACTTTCATCTATAGGATACTAGTATAGGGAAACCTGATAAGATTTGTCAAACTGTTTGTTTTAGTGGTGAGATAAGCCTTATAATGATGCTTAAGACTCTTCATTTATTACAGTCTAGTGGTGATTGTACAGGAGTCATGAAATCTGCTCTCTTGTGTGTCCTATATGTTATCAGGTCAGTGCTAAACAAACTGTAGCAGGATCAGGTTTCCCAGGCCTTTGATGATCTGGAGAGATTTACTTACTGGTCTGGTGGTTTATGATGTAACGACCCCTTATTAATGCACCTCGGAGACTTCAGGGTAATTACAGTGCAAGGTGGCTCTAAGGATATCTACTGCCACAGTGGGTAAAGGGGATCATTATATTATTTTTGTGAAGAAAGTGATGACTTAGCTTCATAGAAGAAAATTTTCCTGCAGTTTTTTTCAAAGGACAGCTTACAGTTGTTAAAATTTAAAAAAGTTTGAAATATCATCCAAATTCATATCGTGGTCATGGATGTATACACTTTATAGTGATAACGCCGTAAGTAATTTTAGACCTCTGGTTTCTAAATTTGCTTCATTAGCCTAGATCAGATGAATTGATACACCCTTTGGATGCTAAACTTGGTGGAAATGTCTTTGATAAAGGTAGGTTGGCCAGGTTCATCCTGTTGTTAAAAATCTGCTGATAACAAATTTAATTTCTCTTTTATTTCCTTGATAGCCTCTTTCTGTGGGGAATACAGCTGACAACTGCTATCCACAACTATTCAAATCCATTGGCTATTTTTCGCACCTGGCAGTATAAAAATTAACTGAGCATGTCAGATTTCTCTGTCCAGAAAATTTCTGGCACACATGTCATTGGTCATTTGTGGAATTTAGACATTTAGTAGCCACAAAATAGTTTTAACCCATGTCTATGCTTTAGATTTTTTTTCTTCACATTACTGTGCTGCTCCTTGGGATTGTAAATTATGAATGAATTGAGGCTCGGAAATGTTAGTTGTTTTTACAGTGTTTCATGATGTTGAAGGTGTTGAGTTTAAGGTGTTGAGTTACACTTCTAAGGCATTGCATCAAAATTTGATTTACAGTCTTACAACAGCAAAAATGTTGTACAAGCAATAAAAACTGTCAAAAAGGTACCAAATCCTCAATAAATAATAAGAGACCTCCCTCTTTGATCTGCCAGCCCATGACACAACTAATGCACTTAATGGGAAATAAAACTGACAATGGAACAGAGTTGATATCTATTATGTACTGCAAGTTATTGTAATGTTAGGAAGATCCTGCTTTGACTAATGTATGGCCATATCATGAAGATTTGACCAATCAAAAAACAGCCTTGGGGGAGAAAGTAGTAAGTGGCGATAGATGATGTCTTCATTGAGATTAGTAGTATGTGAGCCTGGGTCTTTGATCTTGGTGTAGGTCTTGACACTTAAGTCAACAATATGAACATTTCATGTGCACAAATGCATATTAATATTTTCATTACTGATACAGGAAATGATGCATAAAGTAATGTCTGCCATGTGTTACATTTCAAGAGCTTTATGGTAGGATGTGGGATTGAATTTTCTGTAATGTACCAACATTTTTTTGAAATACTAGAGTGATATCTGAGATTGTAGTTGGTTCCGAAAAATCAGATTAAGAAGGATGGTAGCATGAAGTGATCAAGTATTCTGCTACAGAGGATTATTTTCAGTGTAAATCTATGTTTCCATCAATTGGACAGTTGAATGTAGAAAGTTTTTAGTGATTTAAATTTTGATTGATCATTCGTATCTTTGATAAATTATACAGAAGATACACTTCATACTGAGCATGGCCAACAGTATCAAGAAACAAGTTTCATGCCATATGCCTTGCAATGCAAATTTTATGTCTCATTGAATACTCTTTGAAAGCAAGTTTTGTGTAATATGAAAATAATTGAAAGGGTCTGTTATAATTTCTTTTGTACATGGATACAATAACTAGAAATATATTGTTTGATAGCCATTTATTGTTGGCTTATCGTTTCAGATGCTGACACACCAGCGAACCAGTGCAACAGGAGCAAAGTCTGTCCCTGAAAACTTAGCTCAGGTTATGGAAAATTCCATGATGTACCCTGGATCACCACACTCAGTGAATGCTAACCAAACACGGCAACAAAGTATGCAATCAAACAGTTTACAAGACATGGAAGCTGGACAATATTCTATGCAAGCAGGAATTAACCCATATATGCAGCAGCACTCTCGTGGTTTGATGTACCCACAAAATTATCTGAGTCATGGCCAGTCATATAGTGTTCACCCTGTGACTCCAGGTTCCCCTTACAGGGATACAGGAACTCCATTTCATATCAACCAGTCCAATGCAGGGTATTCAGATCCACTGCAAAGTGCTCAGTATTCTCATTTACAGTATTCTATGTCAGGAACAAATTACATTTCACCATTGAATTATTCTGTGCCTTCTCCTATGTCTCCTGTCCCCCACCACTCCAGAGCGATGTCTCCACCACAAGCCATGTCACCACCCCATGCCATGTCTCCCCCTCCTTTCTCCAGAGTGTCCTCCCCTGGATCTGTGTCCAGCCAGCAGTCTGCAGCAGCCTCTTTTTTTGCAAGGTAAGCTAGGATTACTTTGGTAGAACTTCATATTTTGTTAGCAGTATGTCTACATTTTGTTTAAAATTTCCTTTTAAGAAGGAGGAGTTTAAAAGAATTCTTGTATAGTATATTTTTTCAGAAACAAGTTTGATGTAAGTTATATATATAACCTTGTCAAGAATATGGAACTATAGCAATGACAAAAAGAAAATTTATCTAATACAAAAAAAAAAAAAAGAAGTTCAAATATAATTGCAGTTTCAATTCCTGGGGCAGTACATATAATATGTATAATTGCATTGGTAAAAGTGATACAGCAATATCTGTTTAACCTTATAATGATCTTCTAAACTCTTCACAGAGCAACGAATGACAGAAACCCAAATTAATTAGAATGTAGGTGTGGAATTCAATGTTTAAACACTTCATAAGCTTCCATTTAAAGAACGTGAAAAAATCAAATATTTCTTCAGTGATTCTCTGGAGAGAGTGTCTTTCATTGAGAGTTATTTTCTGTTTATGCTGGAATTAACACTACACTTTTAACGTATCAGCTGTTTCTCACCTTAGAGACTTTCATTATATGGATAGGTATTGGTGGATTAAGGGGGTAGATAATATTCATCACATGCTTTGTTATGACTGATAGATACAAGTGCTGACAAATCACCCTGATTAAGATCTGATAATCCTATTGTCACCTTGTCCGGCCTCAATGACCTTAAGTCAAGAAAATGTCAGATCTACAGGTGTGAAATACCAGAGAAGGTGTACTTCAGCCAATGCCCATAAAGCCAAATCTGTTTAAGGAAAATTGGCTGGGGAGATGGTATCTAATCGGGAACAGATCTCTTTGTAAAAGGTGTCAAAACCTCTCCTTACATTCATTTGTAGCTTCAGAGAAATGTCAATGAGAAAAGTCTTCTCTAAATTCCAATTGTTGTTGCGACGGATGGAAAAAAGAGAAAATAACAAATTCCTCTCATCTCTGCTGTAATGTACAGGGACAAAAGAAATCGTTTGAATTGGGGAAATTTGTCAAAATATTTCTACAGATTTATGTCATGATTAAATAAATCTCTGATGCAGGAAGAGCAATTTTGAAAATTGATCCTCTGTCATTAGTAGTGTATTTCAGGCAATACAAACAGTGGAAGCTACAGAGTGAGGGATTGATTGTGGGATAATGAGAGACAGAGGAGAGAACAGTCTTATAGAAATGAACAACCAAACCATGTCCTGGGCTACTAGCTCTTATAGAAGACATGGGGAGGGATTAATCAGATAAAGGAGCAATGTTGCACAATTTCTTTTGTTCTTGTAAATTATCCTGAATTACCCAATATGTCTGAAAGAGCATAATGTTTGTTGAGAAATAGTTCAATTTCTGAAGATGGTGTAACTTCAACAGATGGCTTTTATGCAGATGTTCAGAATTTATTTTTATGTTTGAGCTGTACAACAGTGGAATGTCAAAAGTCACATATGGTTTGATATAAACTTGATTTTATTGTTGCTCAGTCACATAGTATAGTGTATAATGTTTGTATTTTCCAGTTATCTGATTGGTAACAGGTTGAGTCCTAGGTCCCCATCTTTGTAGAATTTGACCTGGTTGTCAGTTGTCAAACAATTTTCACCCTCTCTATCAGTGAAATCTATGGCAGATGAGTTTTATTGTTTTGCCCTCGCTTTTGATTGTTCCGCTCTTACACCTACCAAAATATCTACCAGGCATAAAACTGACAGACTTTTTAATCTCCAGTTGTAGAGAGTTAAATGCTAGATTAGAGGTCTGATTGATTAGATCTGTTGGATAGATAATTAGTAGAATATTCTGAAGCAGTCCTGTCATGGGTTTTCTATGAAGTTGCCATTTTATGATCTAAATAAGGCAGAGGTCATTTAATTATATTTGACTCTCATTATGTCTATAACTGGTGAGCTAGCTTAATGTCACTTTTAAATAATTTGGTCCAGTTCCAAAAACTAGAAAATGTGTTAGTTTTTTCTGCCTAGGGGAAGTTTATGTATGAGCAAGGATTCTGAGGTCAAAAACAATAGTGTGATGAATCCTCTATGTACATGTTCACCTTTTGGACTGCAGGCTGTTTCACCTTTTCCACAGAGTTCATGCCGATTTCTTTGTTTCCTGTCTTCCATTCCTGGGGCACCACCAGTTTGACATGGACACAAGGCAGATGATGGCAGTAGCTGATGCTGCCTTCATTTTCCAGGAAATGAGAGTGTTGACAACTTCCTCTCGATTTTGTTAACATGGCAGAACTGACCATTATAAAAATTATCTTGATTTATATGAACAAGTGGACATGCAACACTAGTGATTAAAGGCTGGTCTAACTGAATGACAATCATCAATGGTCCTTTTATGGTAATTATTGCTGATTATATTCCTTTTCCAAACACAACTAATTGTGTTGAGAGTCCAACACAAATTTTATTCACCACAGCCATTGAATGGATTTGACTCATCTCTTTGATTTATGTTTCTGGGGTTATCTCAATAATAAAAGTCACACATTGATATGCCAATGATACTATCACACCAAAAAAATGGAGTGTCTTTGCCCCCTTGGCTGAATATTCTAGGGTTTTGTATAATAATATTTAACACCTAGGAAGGTAAATAGAATGAAGAAAGGTACTTTTCAAGCATCACTGAATTTCAAATTTCATTCATAAAAATTCAGAAAGTTGCCAAGCAGAACAGACAGTGATTTACTGTTTGATCATGCTGATTTCAATTGAACAACACACCTGTATGGTCCAAAATATGATTATCTTTGTTCCAAGGAACCAAGTTTTTTGTGGAAATTGCTATTCAGAGTTATCTCTCTTTTCTCAGGCTGGATATTGCTCGGATTCCCAAAAGATAAAATCAATACTGGTAATTAAATAGAGTATCAAATATGAAGGGTGAATAGTTAAGAATGGATAAACAATGATTTCCTAGAGAGGCTCTTGTCCTATTCAATAATCATTCAAGTTGACTGATGCCGGCTTTACACAAAGCATAATTAGAAAAAAAAAAATTTAAAAAGATATCAGACAAAAGAAGCAGAAGGAGAAAAAAGCCACAGATGACATTTCTCCTGCAATTACAAGGAACTGGATGTAAGTTACATTAGAAGTATTGAATTTTCAAAAAAAAAAAAAAAGTACAGCCTTTATTGGAAAATCCTTAGTTTTGCTGCATGAGTCCCATGACAAACATGATTCATGCAAACTTTTTTTTTCAGATATATAGCCAATTTTCAAATCTTTAAATACAACTCAAATGATTTTGAAGGACTACTATTGACAAATAAACGAAAAAACATAATACGTTTTAACAGTCATAAAAATCGCAAAAATTCATCATTGATTTGTTAATTGTTCATTTTTTAAATCGAGATGGTAAATGGCCATTATTGAATGAAGTTCGCCTGGTATTTTAGGTGTTAGGTTACACAAGACGGATACGGCGGCTGTTCAGGTTCATTCAATAGTTTGACATCATCTTTTCCGAGGGGTAGTTTGATACAAGGGGTCTTTAACATAGCTGTTCAATATATTTACTCAATGATTTTCTTTTGTTATAAAGAATTAATTTTTTGCGAGCGTAAATTTTAAATTAAGTGATATTGGCAGGCCTCTCTCTTTGATCTTTTGAGGAGTAGGTTCCCCGTGGTAAGTGAGTGACGCTAGCACGCTCTCAAAGCATCAATATAGGATCAATTTTCTAACATCTTTGTGCCAGGGCATTCATATTTGCATAGGGAATAAATCAGTTTGGACTTGTGGAGATTTCATTTTCTCCCCTTTTTTATTCTCTGTCATATTTGCATGTTATAAATGAGAAAGGATGTAGAATCCTGTATATGGCCTTTTTCTGGTCAATAAAATGGGCCTTCATGTCTGAGAAAATAAAAGTTCATTTCCTCACCATGAGTGAATTGTAATTTTGTAATTTAGGAACATTGTTAATATTGAAACTATTTCAAAGTTCTTTGAAACTATTTCAAACTATTTCAGTGTCTTTAGATCTTTATAAATTTAATATCCTACATAAAGGATGGAAATAGAGAACTTGTAAGTTACAAATCTGGCCTAGCTTGTTCAACAAAATATTGGTGACTCAGATCCAGCAATTAATTGAGAGAATTAATAAGTTACCATGATAAATGCATTGTGAACCATATTTAAGAAGTGGTCAGATCATATCAATTAAATGGCCAAGCAAATTGCAATGTGAATCCCTGGCACACAATAAATTGCTTTGTATTAGTCACAGAATGTTGCTGTAACTAGGAAAAGGAACATAGTTAACTCCCCTTGAAAAAAAAGAAGAGTTTTTGTTGTATAATCTAGAAGCATGTGCTTGTCTGATGTATTCTCAGTTTTCCAAAAGGCTTTAGTTGAATTACTAGGATTTAGCTGATGTGTAGAATTCATGTGGTTAGAATTATTGAGCCTGTGTAAATGCTAGATTACTCATTCCACTAAACACTCCATGCACCTGAAAACTTTACCTGGAGCTAATTAACAGTCTAACTCCTAATCCCTCTGCTGATGAAGAACAAAATGCCTGAGTAGAGCAGGCTTGTGTTGTTCATTATGTGGCTCACTGAACACCAATGGCCATGTGATTCATTCTCGGGGGTGCCCCTGCTATAGGCAGGTAACAGCTGACCAGTTCATAAATCACATTTCAATTAATTAAATCTTGTTTTGAACTCGTAATGACATTCATCCTTTAAAAGGAAAGTAGACAGTATGTCCAGCAGATCATGCCTGAGTCACCAGAGCCAATGTTTTGTCTTGTGTGCAAAATTCTATATGAAGGGACAGGTGGTTCTAAGCCACCGCGGGTAACATTTGCATTAACAGTTTCACTTTTAGATTGAAAAAAAAAAAATGGGCAGGAAAGCAAGTCTTTGTATTTTCCCAGTTCTATTATTTGAATTATTACACTTGCTGTATTGAAATTAGTTTTTATTGTTAGAATACATGCAAAG